GTGCTTATTGACTTTTATCAGCAACTTGTTTCTTAACTTAAAGTGCCTGAACCTATTTATGATTTCTGTATTTTTAATGGCTGTTAGTTCATTTGAAACAGCTTTTTTTGTTGTTGTACTGAAGTGTTTCTCATTCTTGTGCTCTTAACTTCCTGCTTGTTCTCTGCAGTACGAAGAAGGAGATCTGCAAATGTGGATGATTTTCTTTCCTTAACTGTAATTGCGGTTCTGTAAGCAAGTTAACATTCCAACAACCTCTTTGAAACGGTTTAAGGAGCTGTTTGTCTGTTTCTTTGGAGTCTATAACACCCCTTCAGACTGCAATAGTAAGCGCTACATGCATGTGATGTCAAAAAGCAGATTGTTTCTCCCAAGGGTCCTGCAGTGTTCATGAATCGCATCAATAGTTCCTCGCGTCTTCAGCTGTGCCAAACAGACTGAAACAGCCACAGATAGAGCAAAGGTTACCAAGAGGCTGAATAACATCTGAAGCTCAAGTAAAAATGTTCTTGAGAAGTTTTCAAGTTTTTTCAATGATGGAAAGAGATGCATTTTCCATGATCAAGTCAACATCGGGACGCCATATTTCACAGTCTGCTTCAGAGTAAAGTCTAGGAGTCTGTGATCTCCTGACCTGGACTACTGAGCACGTCCTCAACACCAGCTTTGGCTTTGCCATCTGGCATATCCTGCTTTCCTTCATTTGCTTGACTCTGATCTCCTGCCTGTCCTCCATTCTCTAGGACTTCAGCGTCTGGGTCTCTCTGGGTGGCTCCCGCCACGTCTTATATGCAGCTGACCAGCTGGAACAATACTTGTTCTCTGGGTACGGACTGAACTTTAAGACCAGGTTAGTGACTCAAACGTTCAGTATCATCCACCGGTAGATAGAATTGGTCATTAACCTGTGTTCTCTCTCTGCAGAGGTTCCTGCCTCAAACATACTTGCTGATCTCTGCAAATAGAAATCCAACTGTCTGTCTACTTCGAAAGCTGGGTCCTCTGTTCTAAGCCTTGACAAACCTAGGATTATTCTTATTCTCACACATTTGGAGCTCAACAAACTAATTTCACACTGAAGTTCTAAAATTATGAAGTATTATTGATTTGATAAATTTTGCTTTTCTCATTTTAGCCATAAGAGTTTTAAAGGATAACACAAATAAACTGCCTCAGTTATCATTACTTCAAAAATATCAGTCTTTACAAATGATACCTATTTCAAAAATCTGCAAGATTTAGGTAAAATATTTGTTAAACAATTGTTGAAAAGTTCAATTAAAACATTGCATTGCCACAAAATGCTGAGAGAACCATATATAGACACTCAGGGCATCAGATTCCTCACTTTCTTTATAGTTGCCATTTGGCTTCAAAGTGCTTGGCAAATCCCTACCTGTATTGTCCTGTTGAAGTTCTTTCAAAGGCAAAAGTAATGGGCTTTTCAACTTCTTCGTTCTTGGAAATCCATGTTGACAATCAAGAAAATGTGCTCAATGAAAAGCCACTTAACCTGCATCCCGTCTGTTGAGGTAGAGCAAAGGCATGTTTTTAAGTAGTTGTTAGTCTTTACATTTTATCTCAGCTCAGCCTGTTACACATGTCGCTGATGCTGCTCTGGAGGAATTTGCTAGTTAGCTTCTTTCCCATTAAATTTAAATGTTTCAAGTGATATTTATCTGTGATAAGCAACATGTTCAAAGTATGGAGAACTGACTGACTATGAAACATTTTATATTTGCATTTCTGAAATGTAAAAAAGAATGTAAAAAGAAAAAGCTTTCTTAGCTGATTTTAAGTATTATCAAGAATATGAAAGAAATCAAAAGTTAGCAATCATAGGATAAAATAAATGAACACAAGGATTAAGTAATCTCATTTATGTAAGGATTATTTAAGTGCAACAAACCTGTTGATACTGAATTAAGTAAGAGTAACTTCATTAAATAAATCAATATCATATAATTCATATAATATCTGACACGTCCTTACTAAAGTATTGATATAATCCTCTAATTAGGTTTTTTGATAGCACATGTCACTATTAAGGTCTTGGGTTCCAATCCCAATAGACAGTTAATGGTAAAAAAAAAATCCTGTTTATCTAGGGTGCACTTTTGCCATTGAATGCCATGGATAGACAGTAGCCCACCTGAAAATGTAAGCAGGTACTGAAAAAGCATCAATGAATTTGAAAAGATACTCATCCAAATTCCTTATCTCAATTTGGAATGAGATTTTTTTTTTTTTTTTGCCAAAAAACATGAAATAATGAAAAAAATAAAGTTAATATACAACTGCCATCTTAATAGTTTCAGAATTTTCTTTACAAGAGGTTCACTTTGCCATCATTAAACACACTCACATACTTTTATCCTGTTTTGTCTTGCCACTTGTTTACTCCCCTTGACTTTCATTGATTTTTCAGTAATAACGCTAAACGTAAACATTAATAGTGCATACCTATGCCTGGGCTAAATCTAAATTCAATTAATACCATAATGGTACAACTAATCATTAGCAAAAACATAAAAATGAGGATCAACAAAATGTCCTCATGTTCCTAGTAAAATCTGTGAAATTATCTTTACTCTTATACACAAACAAGAACTGACTCACTCAAAAACAATAGAACATTTACTTTGTGAACTACTTTTCCATGCTGTTGTTTTGTGTATTATGCACAAAGAGCCCCTAAATATATCTTCATGTAGGTGGAGTGAGGTCAGAGGAAATCTCTCAGTGAAGTCTTTAGGCTCATTAAGGACGGGCTTGATCTCTGCAACACCTACTGAAGTGGCGGCTTTGGTTGGACCAGCTGGCAAAGGAGAAAACTACAGGCTGCACAATGAATTAAAAGCAGCTGAGGTCTGCCACCAATTCCTGCATAGACTTTTGGTCTTTAGTAAATTATCCTGACAAACATAAAATTGTTGGTTTGATTAAAGTTTAAAAAAAAAAAGAACAACATAATTTTTAAATTATGCAAGAATCCTGTTAATAGTACACATTTAATCAAAAAAGACATATGATAATAATGTGCTTCTTAACATCCAGTTAAATACCTACTTTACAGCATGATAGTTTTACTGAGTATATCTTTTATGTGTCAGAGTCCATCACTGTGTCTGTTGCCCCCTAACATTATGAAGAATAAAGGGATTAGGCACAAAAACAAAAAGAAAACTCTGAACACAAGCCATTATCTTTTGGACAATAGAGTTTTTGAAAGAAAGTTTTGTTGAGGCTTCATTAGCAATGGCCTCCCTCTGCGGGCTGAAAGCATGACACATTTGGAGCAATTACTTGACCAGAAAACAACTGTCAGTCATTCTTAAAGGGGAAGGATTCCAATTAATAAACCTCTTAAGGCCCCTGGTTTTACTACCATTCCCCCCCAACAGCTTCTTGGTGTCTCATGTGGTTAAGGAGAGTTTTGTCAGAAGAGAAAGACATTACATGTCGTTGTTGCGGCTGCATGGATCACCAGCATTAGGTCCTACGTGCAATTGTTTGCAGGGGATTTGAAGGACTTAACGGGGAGTAACAAGTGCCCACAGAAGATATTGTTGGTCTACTTATGGTCCAGATAGACACCATGTGCGAAGTCTAGTAAACCTAAAGGTAAGTTTTTTTATATACTTCCTTACAGGTCTTTCACAACTTCAATATTATGTAGTACATTGTTAGGATTTTACTCTGAAATGGCTACATAAAAAAAAAAAAAAGTGATTTGATAAAAAAAGCCAGTGAAAATTTGCACAGGTACATGATGGGATTCAGTTTTTTATTTAAGTACTAAATAAAAACGTACATACAAAACCACGTGGCCTAGCATAAAATGCATTGTTCTCTCATTGTTCTCTGTCATATCTCTTCTCAAAACTAGGCCTGTATGAGGTAAAATTTTAATCAACTAAACAACCATAGTGATTCAAAAAAAATTCCAACATGGACCCATGGCTTTAAATTGGATAACATTCAACAATTCAATTAACATTAACATTATATGTCAATACATTTTTAAATAACATTGGGTTATGCATAGATTTTATAAACTGCATTATTTAAAGATGTTAATGAATGTACTGTGACTAAATAATGCAATCTTTTGCTAATGCTGAATAAAAACAATCTGCTGTATTTGATATAGACTGCAGAAATCATCCAGAAAGAATCCTAAAAATATGTTTTCTCTTTCTTTTAATCCTTTGCAGGAAAAGATGACAGTTGGTTCTGCTGCTGTGGAAGGAGTGCCCCCATCTTTACTGAAGTGATCCTTGGAGTATTTAACTTATTGTGTATGTCTACTTCAGTGCAATTTGAAGTAGAGCAAACGCGCTGAATAATAGCTACAAACTGTTTTGCCTCAGTTTGTAGCCTTTAGCTTTTTTTTTTTTTTTTTTTTAACAAGGAGTACTGAAAGCGATCCTGGAGGCTCGGATGCATTTGTCAATGGATACCCTTGGAATAGTGGATGATAGTGGACATGGACTAGGGGACAATTATGACATTGCAAAAGGTACTGGATCAACAGCTGGAGGAAGAGTCCACAGCATCGATGTCATTCTAGGATTCACAAAAGACCAGGAACCTTTGCTCCATTCGGTGGGAGGAGGAAACAGTGCAAAGGACTCTGGAGCAAACGCACAGGATCCTGGAAAGCAGGTCCCGTCAGACCCATACGGACACCTATCAGAACTAGGGGACAACTCCCAGCACTCTGCTTACCATGGTGAGTCTGTCAAGCTAAGGAAGTACACCTAACCACAGAATTATTTTTCTCTGAATACAGCTTACGGTATTAAAAAGAAACAAAAAAAAAACTGATAATACAGGCCTTGTGCCTGAGGAACTTATTTTATCACTTACTGTACTGGAAACAGTATCTAAATTGAAATTGTAGCTTTTTATTTAAAAGGTGTATACATTGCATGAACAGAAGGGAAGAAATTCCACATTAAATTCCACCCATTATTAATACGGTATATGGACTTATAATTATACTAATTATGATTTTTTTTTTCAAAATCAAACTGCTGAATTTTATTTACAATTTTAAATTTCTCTTCAGATGTTTCTATATTTACACAAATGCAAAGCTCACTGTAAATCATACACTTTGAGTCCTATCAGTATTGTCTTTATGCATTGCAAATTCCCTGCTTATTTCCCTGCAAGTAAAACTGATCTAAATAATTTTCGTTGACGTAGAATCACTAGATAAATCAAATCCTAATTAGGATCATTCAGTCACATAATTAGACCTAATGGATCTCTGTAATTTGTTAAGCCTTATACATGAAATAAGACTCCAGAAATTCTATATTATATCAGTGCATCCTTAAAATGTAACTATCAAAGGTACATAAAAGTATTTGCATCTTCCACCAGAGGGCATAAGACTAGAGTAAGGTTAAATGGTTCAGGCCTATGAGGAAAATACCAAAGAGGTCTCAGAAATAGCTGCCTGTTTTTCCTCACTTTATTGTTTGTTATTGTTTGATTGATTGAAAACTGATGTACTATCACAGTAAAAATTAGTAACAGACACATGCACATGGTTTGATTATAGGGTCTGATTGTTTGCAGGTTAGTACAGAGAGAAGACAGAACTATGGCAGTTAGATACATCCATATTCATTACATGCTGAACATGGAGAATATGTATGAAATTAGGTCAGACAATTCATTTAATTTGCTTTCACAGTTATTTTTGTATTAATTTAGTTTATGTGTGTATTATAATTGTTCTTTTTATTATATGCTTTTATTTATTGTTATGGATAAGAAGTTCTTATCCATAAACATTCATACAGAGGTTGCTAAAGTGTAACAATAATCTTAAGCTTAGTTTATGTTGAGGAACTATATGTTTATTATCTAATTGCAATGCCTCTTAAAAATCAAATGATTTGTGTGCTTCTTTTCTTATTATCCCTCTGCTTACACATGGATCAGACATGGTGTTGCGCACTGAATCCATTCTGGGAACAAAAAAAAAGCAGATTAATACAGTTATATAAACACATGATAACTGTTGAAAATCTGCTTCCAACCTGACTTTGAGATGGCAGGAAGGGAAGGGAGTAAAGCAGAAAAATATTTTCCATTCAGAAAAAAACATATATTGTGGTTTTATTTAGAGCTGGAAAATGTTATTGGTCCCCAATTCAGATAATTGGGGATAACTGCATTAAACTTTTTTATGTGGTTCATTTTGATGTTTCCCTGCGACAGACTAGCGCCCTGTCCAGGAGGTACCCAGCCTTTCACCCTCAGACTGCTGGAGATAGTCACCA